CTATGCACGCAATCCCTACATGTGTGCACAACCCCATTTTCACCCCCCAGAGGCTTTCTAGGAGCCTGAAAATGGCGAAAACAGCCTCCCCCCCCCCCTGAGGTCCTCCAGAGGCTCTGAAGCCTCCGGAGGATGAAAAACAGCCCTATACACAAATTGAAAGTCTGTTCCTGAACTTCTGGTTTGTGCGTTGGGACGCAGGGAAGCCTCCTGAAGCCTTCGGAGGGTGAAAAACGACCCAACATACAAACCAGAAGTTTGGGAATGGACTTCTGGGTGGCCCATAGGGCCATTTTTTGCCATCTGGAGGCTTCAAAACACGTTCCTGAAGCCTCTGGAAGGAGAAAAATGGCCCAACACGCAAAACAGCAGAAAATGAAGACCAAAGTCAGTTGGCCAACACGCACTTGTGCACTGGAGCTGACAAGGCAATGCCTCGCGTGCCCTAACAAATGGCTGCATGTGCCACCTGTGGCACGTATGCCATAGGTTCACCATCACGGGGCAATGTATTAGTGTTCTAATATGGGTATCTCTTTAAGGGTTTCATACTAATCAATTTCTCAAAAATATTATGAACGCTAAAGCCTGAACCAGAAGCCCTATTACAATGTGCTTCCGACTTGCCTTTTGAGAGATGAATGAATTTAAAATTATTTAAAAATTATATAGAAGACATTAAAGACAAAGGAAACATACCTGAACTATTTTTTTTAAAATATACAATTAAGTATTGTGCACTAAGGTCTATTTATTTGAAAAACAGCAAATTGTTTCATTCATAGCACCAACCTTATGGCCTGTATTGCAGAGTAAGAAGCAGCCTGTTCCATACCTACAGTGGGGAAAAAAAACAAGTTACTGAATGTAATTCTTCAGCTTAATTGCTGAACCTGCAGCAGATACATATAAAAAAAACTTGGAATTAAAAAAAGTGACTCTAAAGCTATTCATGAATAGTAACTATCTAAATGTCCACATTTTCTATTCCTATACTCCCTATATAGTATGTGCACAATTATTAGGCAAGTGAATATTTTGATCGTATCATTTTTATGCATACTTTCCACCTCCAAGCTGTATAAACTAGAATGCTTAGTGACTATAAGCATATCAGGTGATGCATATTTGTATAACGAGGGAGGATGAGGCTAAGCAGATCAAACCCCTATGTCCAAGTATGCATAATTATTAGGCAACTTCTTTTCCTCAAGCAAAATTTAATAGAACTTTGAAAAGTCAAAAATTATAAAAAGTCTTTTAGAGGGATGTAGCACTCTTGAAATTGCTAAGATATTGGGGCATGATCACAGAACCATCAAACATTTTGCTGCAAATAGTCAACAGGATCGCAAAAAATGTGTTGAGCAAAAAAAAGATGCCTATTAACTGCTAAAGATTTGAGAAGAATCAAATGTGAGGCTACCAAGAACTCATTATCCTCCAGTGCTATCACACTCCAGAACTGCAACCTATCTGGAGTACCCAGAAGTACAAGATGTTCAGTGCTCAGAGACATGGCCAAGGTAAGGAAGATCACGACTGAACAAGACACAAAACTTGAAATGGCAAGACTGGGCCAAGAAATATCTGAATACAGATTTTTCAAAGGTTTTATGGACTGATGAGAGTGACTCTTGACGGACCAGATAGATGGCTCTGTGGCTGGATCAGTAATGGTTACAGAGCTCCACTTTTCCTGGGAAAGTCAAAACCTCACTTTTACTTTCTTAAATGTTCAGGTTTGAGGTTTATTAACATTTTGGATTGACAGAGAGCACTGTAGTTGTTCAATAATAAAATGAATCCTCCAAAATACAATTTGCCTAATAATTGTGCACACAATGTAGTTTTGGTTGTTAAAAGATAGGTGTCCAATAAATGGATCAACACTTTTATTCCTATTGATATTTTATTAAAATCCAAAATGTTGTTCCACTGAAATTAACACAACAGAAAAAATAGCTTTATCTGCACATCTCTAGGAGGTACTAGATTATTTTAAGTCAGCTAAAATTGTATTGATTTTCCTTTCTGTAATAAGTCTATAATATAATATTTCATGTTAATCTTACGTATTCTTTGCTTGGCCATCCTTGAAGCACATTTGTCCTACTAGTGCAGCAGACTGATCACCTAAACACTGGAAAAACAAATAATTCCATAATATGTAACAAAAATGTTTATGCATTTATTTACTTAAGTAATCAAATTAGATTCTTTTTAGAGGAATAATTTTGGCTGATTTTCTTTACATAGGCTGTCAAGAAATATTTAGAACTTTTTCAAGAGGCAACTGGACTTCCTGGTTTTTCTTTGAAGATGTTTTGCTTCTCATCCAAGAAGCTTCTTCAGCTGACTTGATGGTGGGGAATTGAAGGTTTTATACTCCTTGCAGACACATGGTCTTTTTTTTTTTTTTAAAGGTGGGCCATAACCTACGTGTACCAGAGCAAACCTCACTCGAGTAGATGGCGACACACTGCTCCTAATAAATCATTGTATTCCTTTTGAAACATGGCTTGAGACTCAGTGTATGTTAGAACCTTGACATAGATATGGTTAAAGATTCTAATACTTGGCAAAAATTATATTAAAATATCATAGCTTTATTTAGGAAACTCACCCCAGAAATTGGCACACCAGTCAAAGCTCCAGAACTCTGCCAAAAAAGCCATTTTTAAAAGAAAAATTATGCAGCTGTTTTCAACTAATTTACAAAAAAGGAAAATGATGTACAATTAGAATATGATTGCTTATAGCTCAGAAGCAAATTAAAATAAAAAATGTAAAATTGTTAGCAGAAATGCAAATAAAAATAATAGGGGGAACAGAGAAAATTGTCATCTGTCAAAATAAAAGGCATATTTGGTTCTCTACTGCACTGTAGATGTCCTGAGAATCCCACATATGTGGCACAACAATGAGGGACACATCTCTCTTTCTTCAAATGCTGCTGAAGTATAATTCCCTGTAGCTTCATTAAGCATGATAAACAACCAGGAATGGTGGGGGAAAACTGAATCCTGGACTTAGTCCTTGCTTAATGATTGGTCACTTAATGATAATTCAAATTGACAGCTTGGGAAATCATGCTCTTGCACACCCATGGGTGTTTGGCAAATTGTTAGCACTTGCAACTAGTTGCCAAGCACCCCACAATCATGTGATCATCAACTGTAATCTTCTCTGCTATCTTTCCTAGAAAGTCAATGGGGAAACCAGCAGGGAATGTTGCAAATGAAAGTATCTTCAGAATTCAGCTCCCTTCCTCAGCCTGCCAAAAGATTTTCCCTGTGTGCAGGGAGGAAAGAGAAAACCATCTGGAGCTGCAGAAATGGAGCTAAAATCATGAACTTCACCAGTAAAGACAAGGCAAAGTTTGGGTTTTTTGGGGGGAGGGGCCCCCAAACTTGAAGCTATTTTCATTCTTACACTACTCCTAGAAATGAAAACAGTTTCAAATTACATCATGATAAAATATTTTTGCCATTAAATCTTATCTCAAGATACTGGAAATCCACAAATGACATCTAGGAAGCAGCCTGGAGCCTACCTAACTCAAAAGCAGACGTCATTTGAGGTTCAAGTAATCCTTGAGGCTACAGTAAAAAAAGGTAAATACCATGCTTCACAAATAGAGATTAGTGCCTATTATTAAACAGAAGTGGAAGAATAGGAAGTCTTATATTCAATGGTCGTGCTCTGAAACTATTATCCAAGAGCTCAGAGAGTAATACTATTATGTTCTTGAAAACAGGCAAAAGTATGGACATTTAGCAAATAGATACATCACTGAGACAAAAATAGCTTTGCTTTTCAAATATTATATGTGCACATGCACTCTCAACAGCAGTGATCGGCTTAGTGAGCCATGCATAAAATATAGCCAGTGCATTTCCATTCGGGGATATCTTTATTTTTTAAATAACTTTCTCTGCTCTAAATACATTTTTAGCCAGAAACTATATAATTGTTAATCTCATTTTTCTAATCTTTTAAACTGATGCAAAGTGATCAACTGAACTTCAATTGTAATTAAACTTTGAGAATGAGATTTCATTACAACAAAGAGGGACTTTCCCTGAAGAAATGCACTGTATCTAAGCAAGATGAATGAAGATGTAAACTGACTGTATTCTAACAAAATCCTACTCACCAGGGTAGGAGAGATTTTCTATTGCCAGCAAAATAGGTAGTGAGAAAGAGGAAGAGACATAAACAAGTTTGTAATTTTAAAACCTGCTAGTTTAATTACCATTAACTGTACGATGCTGCTGAACAGATGATAGTTGAAGCATCCCTCAGGAGTGGGTTTCAGCCGGTACGGACCGGTACACCCGTTGGTTGGTGAAATTTAGCTTGCCTTAACGTACCCATTCTTCCGGAGGCCCCGACAAGCCCACGTGGCATGTGCTCCTCTTTTCTCTCTGATAGCTACCTTGTTTCCCTCCAGAGGAGGAAATTGCATGGATTCCCCACCCCCTTCATTGGAAACAAGGCAGCTGTCAGAGGAGACAGCAGCACTGGCCCATGGGCTTGTCCAACGAATCCTCACCTCCGGTTCCTTCTTCTGCTGTTTGAAGAAGCCACTCAGGGTCCATTCCCTTTGACAGCTGCCTTGTTTCCAATTTGGGGGGGGGGAATCCATGGAGAGGGAGGAAAAAGATCGATTTATTTTTCCCCAACCCCAATTGGAAACAAGGTGGCTGTCAAAGACAAGGGTGTGCGCCCCGCATGGCTTCTTCAAACAGCAGAAGAAGGAACAGGAGGAGAGTTTCATGTGGGGCTTTTCCAACAATCAAACTCCCTTCCGGTTCCTTCTTCTGCTGTTTGAAGAAGCCACTTGGGGTGCATTCCCTTGTCTTTCACAGCTGCCTCGTTTCCAATTTGGGGGGGGGGGAGATCTATGGAGAGGGAGGAAAAAGATGGATTGGAAACAAGGCGATTCCAGCAGCTACGTTTTGCTTTGAAACTTGCTGTCCCGGCAATCCGAGGGGACATTCCCCCAGCAGCGTCTCAGGCGCTCCCACCCTTAGCCAGGAGGAAGTAAGGATGGCTGGGTGCAGTTTGGCTCCTTGTGGCTCCCATCAGATCATCAGGGGCCCTTGCGCGCCTGCTCACTCATGTGGCCTGCGTGAATGGAAAATGCAGCAACCTTAATGTAGTAGAGCAGGGGGGGGCTGGAGCGGGAGGTTCTTGCGCGGCAAGAGAGAAAGTTGCCTGAGAGTGTTGTCGCTGAGAGAATGTCCCCTTCAGATTCCCAGGACAGCAAGTTTGAAGGCAAAACGCAGCTGCTAAAATTGGTGCACCTGCAACTTAATGCTTTCCAAGAAGCCGGGAGGCGACTGCTGGCAGAGCCTCTGGGTGAAGGGTGCAGTGGCAGGAGAGGCTGTCCGTCCCTGAAGCCAGCTCTCGAGGAAGGAGGCAGAGATGAGGCCCGGGGCTCGCTTCCCTACCTCCTTCCTCCAAGAGCTGCGGGCAGCAGGGGAAATGAGGCTTCTTTGCCAGCCTCCCAGCTGGCAAAACAAAAAATTTCGCCAACTGGTAGGTATGTGTGAGTGAGAGAGGGGAGGGGGGCAAGAGCGAGAGAGAGAGAGAGAGAAAGAAAGGAAGAAAGAAAGAGTAAGAGAAATAATGGAAGGAAGAGGAAGAGAAATTAAGAAAGAAAGTAAGTAAGGAAGAAAGGAAGGAAGAAAGAAAAAGGAAGAACTTATGATCATAATTGAGCCCAAAATTTTGGTTGCTAAGCAAGAGCATTGTTAAATGAGTTTCACTAATTTTACAAGTTGACCACTCCCACCTAGTCAAATGACCGCCAAGCCACACCCCAAAAATAGGCCACACCTACAGAATGGGTTCTAAAAAAATTTGAAACCCACTACTGATCCTGGTAGTCACGTGATCAAAATTTGAATGCTTGGTAGCCCACCTTTATTTATGACAGCAATGAGCCCTTCAATTGCTGATCTTCCGAACAATTTCTGAGTTTGGCTATTTTGCACTCTGCTGTGCAGTCTACCCCTTCTGTACCCAGCTGAACTTCACTGTTTCTTCCTGCTTCTCTGCCTGCTAATGAGGCACACCTGCAGTGGTGGCAGCAGGGGTTGGTGGCAGCAGTGGAGATGTGATACAGATGGGGGAGCTGAGTAAGATGCTTAACTGCTGAAAGCCAGCTGACAGTTTTTGACAAGCAGAAGAGTGAGGTTCCAAAGGTGCTTTTTGAAAAGGAAACTGGACTTTGTTTTTCCTTGAAGACATTTCGCTTCTTATCTGTCAAGGAAAGTTCAGTTGCCTTTAGAAAAAGCACCTTTGGGACAATCATGACCTAGATCAGTGTTTTTCAACCACTGTGCCGTGGCACACTAGTGTGCCGTGACATAGTGTAAGGTGTGCCATGGGAAAATACTTCTCTTAGTAGTCAATATAGGCACAGAGTTAAATTTTTTTAACATTTTCTAATGGTGGTGTGCCTCGTGATTTTTTTCATGAAAAAAGTGTGCCTTTGCACAAAAAAGGTTGAAAAACACTGACCTAGATGACTGAGAATCTCCATAGACAGAAAAGTGAGATCTTCACCTAATGCCCGCAACTGGGACTACTAGAATTTCTGTCACAAAGTGATACAGTCACATGTTATTTCGCCTAAAAACTCTTTTGTTTAGTTATGGAAATTCCAATCACACTTAGGATTGTTAAGCAAAGACTCCTGTATTATTTTAAAAATACATTTAAGTAAGACACCATCAGATTTTTTCAATGCTAGGGATTCTATTTCATTAGAATAGTGTGTGTGTATGCATAACATTTTAAATATTAAGAACTCCATTTGATATTTTTAAAGACCCTAAAGACAGAATAGATGGACCTATGTGTGACTGGGGTTTTAGAGGAAGTTATTTTACTTTTTTTTAAAAAACTTACAAATATATTTTATTGTTTACACGATAATATTCATGTATCACTCTATTATAAAATACTGAAAACTTGACTCTCAGTTTTCAGCAGTTATGATTACAAGAGTATGGTCATAGTACAGGGACTGTGTTTTTTTCCAATTCCTACAACTCTATGAATAAGATGTGCATTCAATAATACCTCCTGTAACCAAATATTAAGTTTTGGATGTTTTAATGTAAACATTTTAGCTACTTTGTACAGAAATTTGTATTAAAGGGATTTTTTTAAAAGTATCTGCTGTTTCTTTAGAAGCTGAAGACATTATCAAGCAATCACTACGTTTGCTCAGCATTTCAGTTTTGCACAATTATTTTTGCCATCTTTCCCCAAACACCTTGCAATGAAATGTATGAGATAAGAATGGCTTAAACATTACTTATGTACCCAAATTCTTTACACATAGTAATTTGAATGCTTTAAATAGTTAAAAATAACTGTCAAAGAAATAGGCAAACGTCCAACATTTGCATATTAATAGAGCCAAGAAGCTGTACTCAACAAAAATAAAAGTTAAAATTCATCTTTAAGTAAAGCAAACATTGTTTAATCAAGTAAATGTTATTAGTTTATTGTTATTTCACTTTAAATGTAAGTTCAAAAATAAGAACTCATGACATGTAAGTTTCAAATAGCTGTAATGATTCATAAAAAAAGATCATGCTACTAGAAACATCTCAACTCAATTTTGTTATGAGTTTCCAGACTCATTTGACAAAATAAATTTTCTTTGTGTCATGTACTTTTCTGGATTTAAATAGTGACACACTATTAATTCATATAATATGAGAGTTTCACATTTACACTAAAATTTTAGCGGTGATATATCAAACTGAAAACCTTATACCTAGGCAATTCACACAATCCTTACAGTGCTTCTCTCTCTCTCTCTCTCTCTCTCTGTATGTATGTGTGTGTGTATGTATGTGTGTGTGTATATATATATACACACACACATACATATATATATATATATATACACATATACATATATATATACACACACACACACACACACACACACACACACACATATATACATACATATCTCCTTTGGAATTTAAGTAAACAACAATAGCACACCTAAATCTTTATCTTTTTTAAAAGAATACATATATACAATTCACAGAAAGCAGTAACTTCATAAGACAAAAAATACTTTTATAAGACAGAAAAGCAACTTTAAGACCTCTAAACCTAATCTTAAGGATTTTTACAATAATAATAATATACTGAACTTGTATGCCACCCAACTCTCAATGACTCTGGAAGGCTCACAACATGGCTTTGATGTATTATTGTTTGTGTAGGGCTCTTGTCTGTGTGATATGTAAGATTATTTCAGTCTGGGCTATCTGATTGATTTAATGTTTTTATTTGTTTTTATGGTTTGTCCAGTTTTGTATTTTATCCAGAGTCCATTGGAGTTCAGCAGCTTATATATTCAAATAAATAAATAATGGTAATAATATTCTTCCTGTTAGATAAAACTTGTTTCATAAAATATATTACAACTTACATGAGCTACTAAGTAGAAACCATATATGCAATATCAATTAAGTACAACTATTTGCTTAACATTTTACATACATACCAGTAATCCATAGATTTCTGAAGAACTTCGCACTTTGGGAAGCATTTCCATTGGAATTTCAAAAAAACTAGAATTGTTTTTAAAAAATTAGTGTGAATTCTTCCTTGCTGGTAAAAATTAGAAGTTTTCACTTCTTTTCATTTTTTGTAATATGTCTGATACATTTGGAAACATATCAGATTATATCAAATCATTTATTATTTAAAATTCTATATTTATAGAAAGCAATAGAAAATTTACCTTGGTATACATATACATATATATCCGTATAAAATATAAAAATGTACAAGAAATCTTGATTTGGTAATAGATCAGCAATAAAACAAGAGTCATTTAAAATAAAAGGAAAAATATACGGTAGTTATTTTAAAATATATTAAAAAGGCTAGAGTTAATACTATGATACATTATGCAGACTACAGCACAGTACTTGGCTGTGGTCAAGGCAATAAAATCAGATTTATTTTGAGAAAAAACAAACTGGAATGTTTTGTAAAGAGTGGAAATAATAATTCCTGGCATCTTCATAGAGAGGCTTCCATCTATTCAATTATTCCTCCACCATATGGACATAGCCTCTGTTTCAAGGGGATATTTTGGTATCTTCCTTCAGTAATGGCTGTTGAGAGGACATTGAATCTGGCTAAGAAAAAGGTCCTTCTGAATTTTGGGATTGTTATGCCACTGAGATATCCAGCTGGCTAGATATATGCAAAAAAGCTAAACAAGTGTTTCTGGGTAAAGCTGGAAAGTCCGCTTGCATCAATGGTCTGCTGTTTGAGATCAGCTACTCACATTCATAGCCCATCAAGGTATTGGGTAGCCATGAAAAGATATAAAGTTGCAATTTAGCATAAATTGCCTGGCTCCAGGAACATTGGAAACTGTTAATAATAATCAAAGGGGCCAGAATCAAGATCTTTAGCTAGAAGGCAAATAGAACAAAAAAAGGGATAGAACTAGGCAAACTGAAAGGATATAGCAGATAGCAGTGTAGAAATTGTGCTCTCTACCTGGCAATTTTTCCAGGTGACACTGATAAACATAATCTGAGTGTCCTTCTAAAGCACAGGTGTCAAACTTGGGGCGTCACGTTACTGTTACATGACATTTCACGATGTTTTTCCCATTTGCAGAGCTGGGGTGGTTGTAGCCTATGCATGATGCACCTGGCCCATGGGCCACCAGTTTGACACCCCTGTTCTAAAGGAAACAATAAAAGTGTAGATGGCTCAGTGATTCTAGTGAGCCATCTTTGCAAGAGTGTCCTTATGGTTCTCTCCACAGAAAGTTCTGAGGCCAATAAGCTGTTAATTTTAACAGCTGTTAAAATTAATTATTCTGTTTACTCTTATTTTTAAGAAAGCCAGGTTAAAGTTTTAATCTGACATGTTAAACACAATTTTTATTTCTTTGTCAAATTTATATGGCCACCCACCTCATACAAAGTGACTCTGGGAGGCATACAATAAAACCTATTATTTCAAATATGTAAAAATAAATTACTTACTTGCAAAGCTCATCATCCCACTCTAATGAATGAATGTTAAACAACATTGTCCTACTGGCATTGGTTACGTCAGTGCAATGAATACCTCCATTTTTTCCACCAGTCAAACACTTAAATGAATGAATAAACAATTTTGATCATTACTGCATAACTGGAAAATTAAGAAGAAATAGGCAAGCTACATTTTTTACAAAAATTAACTATAAGAAAATAATCTCTCAGGTACAATGTTAACCTAGTATGTTCTGTGTATGTGTGTGAGAGAGAGGGGGGAGGAACCAACAAGATAGATGCCATGTAGGTTAGGACTACTTTACCGTAATAGATATAGTAATAGAATCTTGCAAGTCTGAATGCACTTCACATCTTATTTTATCTTTATGTGATCTAAGTAGGGGCTTGTTTTAGATGTTTTCTCAATTTTTTTTTCTTGGCTCAAGTTCCTCTTTTCAACTCTGTGATTGTATGTGAAAATGACCTTGGGAGATGGGAGATAAAAATATGCTGGATAGGAAATGATAAGATAAGAGAGGCATAGATTTCAGAATGCATAATGGGCAGAGAAAGAAACTCCTCAGGCTGTAAAAGAGGCACAAGGAGATTTGTATTATCAGACTTTCACGATTCTGTTAATGTATCTTTATGATTAAGTAGAATTAACTCATCTGGTTGTGTTTCCTATATGATCTTCATGGAATGCTGATAGACTGGTGCCTTAGTGGCAGTTATTCTCTTGTCCTTTAAGGCCATTACCTATGCCTGCTACAGTATGTGATGAGAGAGAGAGACAGAGAGACAGAGACAGAATTACTCTGTTAATTTGTAATTATGTAGCTGACTTCAGTTCTTATAACATCAGTTCTTAAAGACCTTAACATTTTAAAGTTCTACTATTAAACATGGATTATATTAGAGATATAAATGCCTAAAAGATGGCATAACATGCTAGGATCTTTAGCTGTATAAGAGAAATTTTTCTCATTTTTTCATCATATATTTACTCGATGTATAGGATAAATGGATATCTATATCTAAATCAGAATTCCCCAAATCTAGGTAAATTACCTAAATTTTGTAAACATTGTTTTTTGAGGGGATGAAACATGAACCTATTACAAAATCACAACAGGGACATTTAAATTAACTGAAAGTGTTTTACCTATATTGAGTAAAAAGGATCTTTGATCAGCAGTTTTGGGTAATGAAGGAAAAAGCACTAATTTAGAATATTACTAAACCCAACTTTATTGCTTTTCATCAATGCTGAATGAATGTGAGAGCATAATTTGCATTCATTACTAATTTATTCTGCTAATAATATTTTAGACAGTCTATAAATGAATACTAATGTTCCTGAGAATATGACAAAGGAAATTTAAATTTAATATGACAAAGATATCTAAGGGGCCAAAATAATTGACCCCCTAGAGGAAAAAGAGAGATGGAAACATGTCACTCATAGGAAAAAAACCACAAACCTAGTATAAAATCCCTGTCCAACCCAACCCACTTTGAAAGCAGCCCCATTGGTGCTAGGCAATTGATTTCATGGACTCTCCCTGGAAGAAAACATGCAGACACATAGAAAAGAAATATCATTAAATATCCCTAAAAAAGGTAACACCATCAAATGCTTCTGTGATTGATAGAAAAATATCCCAAACCTCCTTAGGAAAAAAAGGCAAGTGTTGGTGATAGGAAATTCAATTCTCAAGGAACAGAACCAGCCATCTGTAGACCAAACAGTCAATACAGAGAGGTATGTTGTCTCTCTGGAGCTAAAATCAAAGATGTGGCTTAGAACCTAACCAAAATAATAAAACCCAAAGATTACTACCCTTTTCTTCTACTACATGTAGTAACAAATGACACAAAAAAGACTTGAAAACAAAAAGTCAAGGACTTAGGTGCATAGGTAGTTTTTCATTTATACTGCCAATGAAAGGACAACATTCAGTAAGAGAATAAAGAATTTTAGAAGTGAACCACTGGCTAAAGGGTTGGTGTTGCTAAAACATTTTTGGATTCCTGGACCATGGTCTGTACTATCCCCACGATGGACTTCTGCCAAGGGATGGGCTGTGCCTCAACAAAAACTAGGAAGAATGTTTTTGGAAAACAACTGGCTCAATTTATCAGGAGGGCTTTAAACTAAAATTGAGGGGGGGGAGGGTGACCAATCTTTAGGATCTCCAGGATCTAATTCCAAGCAAAAACCCCTAGAAATAATGAAGTAAGGAGGGATGGGAAAGAAGGCAAACACAAACACCAAATAGGAGACATAGGAGGCATTCCCAGAATCAGACATAAAGATCTCAAGTGCCTATATACAAATATACAAAGTCTGAGGAACAAACAAGGTGAACTTGAACTATTAATACATGAAGGTAGATATGATATAGTTGGAATAACAGAAACTTGGTGGGATGAAACTCATGACTGGAACATACTGATAGAAGGATACAAACTGTTCAAAAAATCCAGACCCCCATAAAAGAGGAGATGGAGTTGTACTGCATGTAAAGGACCACTATATTGCTACAGAAATACATGAAACAAAAGATGAGAACCTCCTAGAATGCATATAAAAGAAGAAAAGAATGACATGAGTTTGGACTTTTGACTTACTGAGGGAAAGCCCGGAAATCTCAGATTTGGGTTTTCCCAGATATGCCTGTATACCTACTCTAATAAATGGGAGCTTTGAGAAATGCCTCTCTCTGAGTTTTCACTGGAGTCTGGGTTTTCTGGAATGCTGACATTAACCCGAATCTCTAAGTAGTCAAATAGCACCCCAAAAGGAGGCTGTCCGGGGTGCTGACCCCAGCACTGACCTGAAACTTGGGCAGTGTGAAGATTCAGCAAAGATGGAGGGGAGGGGAGATCGCAGAAGGAGAACTTATCAAGACCTGGTATTCTTCTTCTGAAGACGTGGTACAAACGCTTGAAGCTATGGCGCCGACACAAAGGCTAGGCACTCAGCCCAAGGAGACGGATTCTTGGAAAAGTTGCCAGTCTGATCCAACTCCAGAGATGGGACTGGAGGAAAGACCACCTGAATATCGTTCCAACTCCAGCCCAATGCAGTCAACCCACGAGCCTGAATGGAGGGATGTGAGAATTTTGGGGTCTGACAACTCCCGAGACTGGAACCTCTGTCTTGTTGCCTCCGTCTTGAAGCCAATCGTTGACAGGGCTCCTAGAGCGTTTTGAGCGGATTGACGTGGGAAGTTATGCACCACGGTCCCAACCTCCTCAAGTGAGATGGAGTCTAACAACCCACATTCACTTTTACTGATCCAGGATCTGGTAGCAGAAGAAGCATGGCATCGACACTCTTCTACTAAGCCAGAGATGACCGACAGACTGGCTCGTTGCAACAGGATCAAGCAGCAGGAGGGAGACAGCAGATGCAACCGGCATCAGGAATGCTATGACTGCCCATTGCCCCGCCTCACCAACCTGGGTTCATGCTTCCCACTGCAGAATGTATCCCCCGCAGGCTGGAGATTCTATCCCGGCCATGGGTGGATCTAGCACCAATGGACCCCAGCACCATTTACTCCACTTTGGGGGGGGGAGGAAACACCATGGGCCCAATATGCCCCAACAATCCCAACACAGCAGTGGGATCTGATCCAGCAGCCAGTTGTAGCCCCCCCCCCCATTGCAACTCAACACCCAGCACAGCAGCCGGCCCCGTCCATCTGCCTGTCACAATCCAGCAGCCAGCAACAGCGCTGCCCCAGATTCCAGCTGAGCCGCCGGTGTTTCTCCCACCACCCCAACAGGTCAGCAGCGCCCCAACAGGTCCTAGCCATGTTGCCTACCACAGCATACCAGCAAGCCCCTGCCCTGCCACCAGTCGCTGAAGCAATTCCACCAGCAAGACAACTGCCACCACAGTTTAGAGCAATTTTTGATGGTAAACCTGCCAAACTGGCTTATTTTCTCAGCCGAGTCTGGGCTCATATAGACCGATATGGAGAACAATACGAAACAGGTCAAGATTTAGTATCAGTGATCACAGAAGTGATGAATGAAGGAGACGCTTCTGACTGGGTAGCCCAGCTGCACAATGAGGGGGCTGCTGAACTAATTGATGCTGAGGGTCTTATGAATTGTTTCGGGCCAGATTCGAACCGAATCAACGAAAACGAAGCCACAACAAAATGATGAAGCAAGGTAACCGACCCATAAAAGACTTCATATGAGACTTTAGATGGGTCACAGGGAACCTTGGACATTGGCCTGACAGAATATTCCTGCACTACTTTAAAGAGGCCATCAATCAAGAAGTCAGAAAAACCTGAGAGGGCAGGGAGCTGACGTTGCTATGACACAACATGCAATCTTGGAGCTCCAGGATTGCTGTCGATATCTTTGCTGCTGGACAGTCGTTTTGGACCTAAACCGTCCCGTAGAGATGGTGATAGAGAAGAGCATGTCCTGCTTATCTCAGGGACATCGCAAAGTCCCTAATTGATCCAGGAGAAGCTCTTTTTTCCGGCGAAAGAGAAGCAGCCATTGAATCTGCAAAAGGTTGGGACAGCCCCTGAATGGAAGAAAAGCAGGAGAGAGTGTATATCAAAATGGTAAGACAAATTTTTACTATTAGAGAAGAGAACACCCCAAAAGACTTGGAGTAAATTAAAATTGAAGACAGAAGAGAGCAAGAGGCGAATTAATGAATTAAACTTAGTATTATCTTTTTTAAAAAATTTTTGCTTTTTTATGGATGGAACTTTTACGAATGCCTCTTACTTTTTAAATTGGATTGGTTTCTTTTTTCCCTCTTCTATTTTTCCTCTTTTTTCATATTTGTGGATTATGATTTTCTTTTTCTTTTGACAACAACGCTCGGCTGGATTGTTTGCTTTTAAGCACTTTTTTTTTCTTTTTTAAATTCGGAATTTAAAGAGAGGGGTAGAGGCAGAGGAAAAAGAAGCAATACTTCCATCTAGAGGCTGGAGGCTTAGAAACCATTTTTTTAAAAAAATTCCTTTGAACATTCGACTCATATCTAATACTTCAAGGCTCTTGATTTTATTTATTGAAAGAGATAGTGGGAAGAGTACAGATTGTTTATGCAGGTGCTCTTCTGGAGTAC